ACTCATTTGGACACACTTTAATAAAGATGCGAGTTGCATTTTCATGTCGCTGATGCGTAGGATTAGGAAGTGCTGGATCTTCGGTTACGATAAGCCCGAGTGGTTGAATCCAATGGTTTGGGAGAAAATTGTCCATATGTTTGAACAACTTGGTGCAGACGATATCTGATGGGACTATTTTTGCTGAATTCCAACAGTTATTTGCTTTTGAATGTTTTCAGTGTTGTTTCCTATGTGTTCTCAATTTCTCTGCTTTTGAATGTTGTTTGTTTTTTCTGAACTTCTTTTTGAACTTTTTTGTAATCCCAAACATATATCTTATCTTTTGAATCATGTTTTTATCAATTTTTCTTCATTTTGGCCATTTTAACAGACATATAACTCAGTCGTAATGTTATCAATAACTCAGCCGTAACGAAATCACGTAAATAATAGGTTATTGATAACTCAGCCGTAATGTTATCCATAACTCAGCCATAACATAGTATAAGTCAGCCATACCCTAAATATGCGTTATGTCAATTTCTTGTTATAACTCAGCCGTAACGGAATCATGTAATTAATAGGTTATTGATAATTCAGCCGTAATGTTATCTATAACTCAGCCATAACGTAGTATAAGTCAGCCATACCCTAAATATGCGTTATCTCAATTTTTAGTTATAATCAAGTTATGAAATCACTTAAACCACATAAATATTAGGTTTAAATATGATACAATCATGTTACCATATTATTCATCAATAATTTAGACTTTGTTGGTAACATTTCGAAACTATCACACAAGAACAAGTTTCTAGTCATAACCAACACTACATAATTTGAATTGGATGAAATTGTGTAAATTTTCCATTTTCTTTTCAAAATTAACAATCTTAACATGCATATTTGCTGGTAATATATATTTATTATATGTCATATCCATTATATACTTATATAATTGCTAATTATAAATTATAACTATACTCATAACTCAGCCGTAACTTGAACACATTAACTTAGCCGTCACATAATTATAAGTCAGCCATACCCCATTTCTCATTTAACATGAAAAGAAATCTTAAACAACACAAACTACAACATAATCAGTCTAAACATCATGAAACAACAATTATATTCTCTCTCATAGCCATACAATTGTGATTCCTATTACAGAGAGTAGACAAATTGTCTTCAAAGCTGTCTTACCCATATCATCCTCAATCTTCTTCATCAATTTTTCTTCAAGCTTCTTACTCAGTTCTTCCTCAAGCTTGTCAAACATTTCTTTTTGGAGATCTAAATTTTGAGTATGTTGATGCCTTAAGTCCGTCACATCTTCTTCTATTCTCTGTACCTTTGCGTCGACCATCTTAATTTCTTCAACCGATGCCTCATCAACCCATTTGAAGAAATGCGACTCATTTGGCCTCTAATTAACAAAAAACCAACATCGATACCCATATGTTAACAATAAAAAATTAAATGAAAATTAGTACCTTCAAAGCATTCGAGCATCTATAGAAGATACGGTAAGGGTTTTCCTTTGTCTTCGATATGTATGTGATGATATCGTTACCACACCAACATCCGCAATTCGTCAGAATATGTGGAGGGTAAGCACCATGTGTTGAACGATATGTACTCGAAGAGTAGTCGCTCATATTAAAATTGAGAAGTAGAATTCTTTAATCGAAGATAAACCAAGAAATCGGATGGGAATCCCAGAAATCGATAAGAACCCTAAATCCCCAATCTGATCGCTCGATTATGACTATAAGGGAGAAGAAAGAAGTAAACGACGTCGTCTGGAATTAACTCGGCCAAACCACGAATTTAATTTACGATAAGTCAACCAAACCTCATTATATAACTCAGTCGTAACGTTATGTTATACCTCAGACGGAACGTAACTATAACTCAGCCATACCCCGAATTTGAATATCAAAATCATAAATCAGCCATATTTAACGTATAAATCAGCCGTAACATGATTATAACTCAGCCATAACATAGTCATAAATCAGCCAAACCTCGAATTTTAAATATAAGGTTATTTATACATTCATGTTATTAGAACACTTAGATAAGAAGAATTTAACGTTTCTATTCACTGTGAAAATGAATATAATCAAATTAGCTATTGTTTATACCTTTTAAGACTTATGTATCCAACAAAGAGATAAATCCTAGTAATGCTTGTCTATTCTATCTTGTAATATTATAATTTAACACAATTCTATCTTTTATATTCGGGTGAATTTTATTTTTTACATTAAAGATACTTTTTAATATATTCTAATACCATAATGTTAAGTTTATTGTTCAATTTAAAATGCTTGTTTATTGTTGAGTTTAATTTATCTTTCGGAACTCAGCCATAACATAACCATAACTTAGCCATAACGAGACCATAACTTAGCCATAACAGACTTATGTACAAAACCACAAATGAGCCATAATTCCAATAATTTACATATTATCATAATAAGTCTAGTACAACATATTATTACTGAAACTGACTGTAATAATCCGCTGCCTCATCGAAAATGTCTGCTGCCATCTTCAGCCGTATACCTTGGATATTTTCATCACAGAGGCCATCGAAACTAACACCAAGTGCTAAGCATTCCACATATTTGAGAGAGTACACACCACAGTCCCCGGGATTACGATTTTGAGGGACCTTGGATATACTCTTCCTTCTGAAGGAAAACATCGCCTTACTATGTGGACGGATTTCAGCAGGGACTAAAGCGTTGAGCATTGCCGGAAGCATCTGCGCAAACGGCTTAACAGAGTTCATGATTTTTGCTTCACTTTCAGGTGTTACCTGTCCCACAATGCTGTCATATACATCGATATGGCTCCTTGTCAGGTCAGCTTCTAGCGTAATCCAGTGATCACCTCCGGATTGTATAACAAGATACAGTTTTTAACCAGCTCATAGGGTCCACCATCGAATTTAAACCTTTGTGGTCTTTCCTTGAATGTTTTAGTATACTCATGTATGAGTAAAGCAGTAAACCACAGGTCTATAAACGCAATACGTTTGGTGTGGAATGGGCAGGGGTCTTTAAGGAACCGTTTCCTGAGGAGTCTTATAAACGCAGCAACATGCTGTAAAAACACCGTCAGGTAAGTTAAATATAACTCAAATATAATTCAACCATAACTCAGCCATAACTCAGTCATAACTCAGCCATAACTAATATATAACTCAACCATAACTCAGCCATAACTCAGCCATACCAGGGACCATAACCCAGCCATACAAGGACCATAACTCAGCCATAACTAGCTAATAACTCAGCCGTCAAGCTTAATGATAACTCAGTCACAACAAAAAAGTGTAAAACTTACATCGTCCCACAGCCAGCCATACTTAGTGTCCGAATCTGGCCAATCCTTTCTTTCAGTGATGATTCTCTTGTAGAATTCAACTTCAGGGACCGCCTCGCCATATGGGGTAGCCCTAACAAACAACACACTTTAATATACATAAAAAGGGGGTAAAGAAGCAGTAATCAACAGGTCAATAGGTACGCAGACTTACTAGTGTGGACTTAAGTGTTCCAATAATCTCTCCAATATGGCCGGATCAACAGGGGCGAAAGGATCATATATTGCAACAGAAGGTACACAGTTCTTCCTCATACATGTCAGCCCGTTCTCTCCAATAATAAGGAAAACATGGGGATTTGGCTGTGGCTCTAATGCACTCTCATCTTTAGCAAACTTCACATTTGCTCTCCTTAAGCCTTTAATCCTTTCATTCCTAATCTTTTCTTCTTCATCAACATCAGATTCAGGTAATATTTTGAAGTTCTCGAAAGGATTATTGTCAGTGACATCCTCTATTTCACTGTCAAAAGCTTTGTTATCCCCTTTGTTGTCCCCTTTGTTAACCCCCTTGTTGTCCCCTTTCCTGTCCCCTTTGTTGTCCTCAACCTCAACCTTTGAGAGTTTGAATTTGACAAGAGGAATCTTAACAACATCTTCAGCAAGTTCTTCCACAAGATCAGAAGGGACACTTGATTTCAACTGCTGAACACCTCTAGGCTTTCTACATCTCTTCTTTGGCTGGCCTTTTTCCTCATTCCCTTTCCTTCTTGCTTCAGCTTCTGCCCTCTTCTTTTCCTCTACTTCTTTTTTCTTCTGGGCATCTGCTTCTCTTCTCTTCAGTGCATCTTCTTTCTTTTTCAGTGCCTCCTCTTTCTTCTTTTGAGCCTCGGCCTCTTTCCTCTGCTGTGCTTTCTAAATTCCGCGTCACAGGCCGCATTTTCTTATTAGCAGGAGAGGGAGATTTCTCAATGAAATCAAGAAGACCATCTTTCTTTTTAGTGGCCTCTTCGAAATCCTTATTTAGATTCTTGATGCAGCGATTAATGTCACTGTCCAGAACTGCTTCTTCTTCTTCTTCTTCCTGAATTTTCTTCTCCTGTAACTTCATAACACAAAACAACTCAGCCATAACAAAGGTATAACTCAGACATTACACAAAACAAATGTGCCATAACAGAGGTATAACTCAGCCACAACATAAAACAACTCAGCCAAAACAAATATATAACTCAGCCATAACATAACTCATAACTCAGCCATAACATTCAACAACTCAGTCGTAATGTATTTGATAACTCAGCCATAACATAAACAACTAAGTAAAAAAATCGAATAACTCAGCCATTACATAAAATTAAGAGAACTCAGCTTACCGGGGGACTAGTAACAGAGTAGTCTTGGCTTGACGGTTTCTTCTGAATTTCAGGTGTCTGTTCTTTTTTTTTCCCAAAAGCATCCCTGATTCTGATATTGGAGATGCTCTTGAGTGGTAATGTGCCGTCATTCTGAATGTTTTTGCCTCCACTCATGAGACCAGCTAGGCCTCCACCTCTGGCAACGAAGGAAATTAGGCCTTTCATATTGACGAATTCTTCATCAACACGTGTGAACTTATCATCAAAGGTCTCAACCTTTGATTTCATGGTCTCAATACTTGATTTCATTTCTGAAACCATACCCACGAGTAATTTAAGTGACGCCATTCCACCAGCATCGTCCTCTTCACTATCAGCCTGCAAAACATACACAAAAATTGATAATCAAAACATACACAAAGTTATATGACTATATAACATATAACTTACCTTTATCTCCTCACTCTTCTTCTTCTTATTCTTCTGTTCATGAGGCTTTACCTCCTCATTTATCTTCTTCTTCTTCTTCTTCTGTGCATCTTCTGCACCAGAATCACCACCCTTTTCAACTTTCTGCTTCTTAGCGGGAGATTCAGACTCAACCGCTGCTCTAACTTTTCCAGCTTTCTTCTTGTCCTCATTCACTTTCACATCCCAAAAACCTTTAACAAGCTTTTCCTCATGTATGTCATTGACCAAGTTGACAAGTTCTGGGTCTTCTTCTGTCTGATTTGGCCACGTATGAAAAAGCTCACTTACATCACCCTTCATCACCATTGTACTCACACGCAGCTACATTAGAAGACAAACATCAACAAGTATAACTCATAAAGACAAAACAAATACATAAACCAGCCATCACTAAACTCTAACTCAGCCATTACTAAACTATAACTAAGTTATAACTAATTTATAACTCAGCCATAAATAAAAATAACTCAGCCAAAACTTAACTATAACTCAGCCGTAACTAAACTATAACTCAGCCATTACTAATATATACCTCAGCCATGACTAAATCGTAATTCAGTCATAACATAAAACAGAGATCACTAAAATATAAGTTACCTCACTATACTTTTTGATATCTTCAGCAATGGCCACATCTAATGCTGAACGTGTACGGGTCCCAGGCCTTCGAAACAATGGGATCTCTTCATTCTCGACTAAATTCTCGAATCGCTCTCCTAAGCATTTGATAGAATCATATGCCCAAGCTTGTAACACGTAAACCGGCCCACCAAGGGTGTACGAACTACCTCTAGGATTCAAGCACTTGACATTATCAACCATAGTCTCAAATGCGACCCGACCCCATGGATAAGCCTTCACGGCTTTATCATCAGAAACTATTTTTGCAGCTTCAAATGGTATCCGTGAGTTATGATGCACGCAGTAGAGTCCAATGGCTAGAAAAATCAATAGCCCCAACCACTTGCGCTTCTTAACAGACCATGACCGGCACACTAATAATCCTTTAAGTAGCTCATCATATGTTGGACCTTCCCCACCGGGAACTTTCAATTCTTCTGTTAAGAACTGTTTGAAGTCAACTGAAGGTTCAAAATTCTCTGATGGAGTTGGATCTATGTTTAACCCCGTGAGGTGAGCGAATTCATTCAAACCAAACCTTATAGGCTGGCCACCAACTAAACACCAAAGCTCTTTGTGTTTAATTCTCAACTGTCTACACAATAGATAGTGTACAGTCTTAGCAGACCAAACGAATTTGCTTTCAACTAATTTAGCAACTATTCCAAGAGGTAATTGATTGATCTCATCCCACGCGTCTTGTCCAATTGATTCCCTAACCCCAGGGAAATCTGCCATCCTAAAATAGGTACACATGCTTTTATTCTTGAGGCTAGACATCCCTTCTTCGTAAAGTCTCGGTGGGTAACGCATTGCTTGTTCTGCAGCCATCTGAAATAAGTATAAACACATCATAACTTAGCCACAACATAAACTATAACTCAGCCACAACATGAACTATAACTCAGCCACAACATAAACTATAACTCAGCCACAACATAAACTATAACTCAGCCACAACATAAACTATAACTCAGCCACAACATAAACTATAACTCAGCCACAACAT